TCAAGACCAAGGCAGCGGTAGGAATCGAGGTGAAAGGATGCAGGGATCAAGACCAAGGCAGCGGTAGGAATCGAGGTGAAAGGATGCAGGGATCAAGATCAAGGCAGCGGTAGGGATCGAGGTGAAAGGATGCAGGGATCAAGATCAAGGCGGGGGTAGGATTCGAGGTGAAAGGATGCAGGGATCAAGACCAAGGCAGCGGTAGGGATCGAGGTGAAAGGATGCAGGGATCAAGATCAAGGCAGGGGTAGGAATCGAGGTGAAAGGATGCAGGGATCAAGATCAAGGCAGCGGTAGGAATCGAGGTGAAAGGATGCAGGGATCAAGATCAAGGCAGCGATAGGAATCGAGGTGAAAGGATGCAGGGATCAAGACCAAGGCAGCGGTAGGGATCGACGTGAAAGGATGCAGGGATCAAGACAAAGGCAGCGGTAGGGATCGAGGTGAAAGGATGCAGGGATCAAGATCAAGTCAGCGGTAGGGATCGAGGTGAAAGGATGCAGGGATCAAGATCAAGGCAGCGGTAGGAATCGAGGTGAAAGGATGCAGGGATCAAGATCAAGGCAGCGGTAGGGATCGAGGTGAAAGGATGCAGGGATCAAGATCAAGGCAGCGGTAGGAATCGAGGTGAAAGGATGCAGGGATCAAGATCAAGGCAGCGGTAGGAATCGAGGTGAAAGGATGCAGGGATCAAGACCAAGGCAGCGGTAGGAATCGAGGTGAAAGGATGCAGGGATCAAGACCAAGGCAGCGGTAGGAATCGAGGTGAAAGGATGCAGGGATCAAGACCAAGGCAGCGGTAGGAATCGAGGTGAAAGGATGCAGGGATCAAGATCAAGGCAGCGATAGGAATCGAGGTGAAAGGATGCAGGGATCAAGACCAAGGCAGCGGTAGGGATCGACGTGAAAGGATGCAGGGATCAAGACAAAGGCAGCGGTAGGGATCGAGGTGAAAGGATGCAGGGATCAAGATCAAGTCAGCGGTAGGGATCGAGGTGAAAGGATGCAGGGATCAAGATCAAGGCAGCGGTAGGAATCGAGGTGAAAGGATGCAGGGATCAAGATCAAGGCAGCGGTAGGGATCGAGGTGAAAGGATGCAGGGATCAAGATCAAGGCAGCGGTAGGAATCGAGGTGAAAGGATGCAGGGATCAAGATCAAGGCAGCGGTAGGAATCGAGGTGAAAGGATGCAGGGATCAAGATCAAGGCAGCGGTAGGAATCGAGGTGAAAGGATGCAGGGATCAAGACCAAGGCAGCGGTAGGAATCGAGGTGAAAGGATGCAGGGATCAAGACCAACGCAGCGGTAGGAATCGAGGTGAAAGGATGCAGGGATCAAGATCAAGGCAGCGGTAGGGATCGAGGTGAAAGGATGCAGGGATCAAGATCAAGGCGGGGGTAGGATTCGAGGTGAAAGGATGCACGCTCAATGCAGTGATGCACAAGGCAGGAGGCACGCTCAATGCATGCAGTGATGCACAAGGCAGGAGGCACGCTCAATGCAGTGATGCAAAAAGGCTGGAGGCACGCTCACAAGTAGGGCAGCAAGCACTCGCAAGTAGGGCAGCAAGGACTCACAAGTAGGGCAGTGATAGCACACCGGTATTCAGAGGTGCAGCAGATGGATGAACCCACAGCAGGCTCCTGAGGGAGCCGGCATGGCGATGAGACGCGCGCCCACGATCTCGCCCACCACCAGCGTCAGGTTGGGCGCTATGGCTGGGACGGGCGCCCAGCATGCGCGATCGCAGTGCAGTGCAGTGCAGTGCAGGTAGTCCAACAGCTGCGCGCGGTACTCTGAGAGGGCGATCACATGGGGGGGGGGAAGGTTGAAGGATGGTGGAGATGAGGCGAGTCGGTCAGACGAGGATGGGTGAGAAAGGAAATCAAAGTCACGTATACAGTTGCACTAACGTAGCAGTGTTAGTGTGGCAGCACTGTGAGTGTGGCACTGCGAGTGTGGCAGCACTGTGAGTGTGGCACTGTGAGTGTGGCAACCCTAACCAGCATGGCAGCCATTCCCATGTGTTCATCGAAACGTGTAAACCACCCACCTGGTCGCAGCGCAGAGAGCAACCATGTTGGTCCGACTCATGTCATGCTCGCTGACCCCTCTGACCACTAACCTGGTCGCAGAGCGCAATGATGTCAGAGCCTCTCGTTGACCTGCGTTGACCTCGCGTTGACCTGCGTTGACCTGCGTTGACCAGAGGCTCTCTGACCACTGACCTGGTCGTAGAGCGCGAGGATGTTGGTCGCTTGAGACCACCACTCATGTCGTGCTCGCTGGCCTCCGCCCCCATGGAATCAGTCATGATGTTGGTCAGACTCATGACTCATGGACCCCGCCCCCATGGAATCACCGCTGCACCATTCATTGCCGACTGCACATCCTGCTTAAATATCTGGGGGGATGGATGGGTAGGGAGGATGAGAAGGGACGTTGTGAGGCGGCTGTCAGTGACGGCCTTACGAACGAGCACGGAGGAAGTCAACCGGAAACACACGGAGGAAGTCAACCGGAAACACACGGAGGAAGTCAACCGGAAACACACGCCTCAATGCGGAGAGCAGAGGAGGGCGGGAGTGGAGTGGGCAAGGGAGGGGAGGGGAGCAAGGATGGGGACCACACTCACCCCGAAGAAGTCAAGCACAGCGGCGTTGACGCGGTGAGCCACGAGCGAGACAGAGCGGCGTACTGCAGTGCAGGTAATCCGATCAGCGGCGTACGGCAGGTGGTCGCGCACCACTCGCGCACCACTCGCGCACCACTCGCGCACCACTCGCGCACCACTCGCGCACCACTCGCGCACCACTCGCGCACCACTCGCGCACCACTCGCGCACCACTCGCGCACCACTCGCGCACCACTCGCGCACCACTCGCGTACCACTCGCGCACCACTCGCGCACCACTCGTCGCGCCTCCACCGTCGCCGCGCTTCCCCGTCGCCACGCGTATCCCCTCGTCGCGCCTCCCCCCTCGTCGCAAGATTCCCGTCGTCGCGCCTCCCTTGTCGTCGCGCGTCCCCCCTCGCCGCGCCTCCCCCCTCGTCGCAGGTCTCCACTTAGTCGATGCTTCCCGTTGCCTCCTTGCTCTCGGACGTCGCTCCTCCCTTCGCCCTTACGCCACTCGCTCACGTCACCAGACGCTCGCTCCGTGATGTTTCGCCCGTCGCTCGGTGTGTCGCCCGTCGCTTGGCGTCCCCCCCGTCGCTTGGCGTGTCACCCGTCGCTCGGTGTGTCGCCCGTCGCTTGGCGTCCCCCCCGTCGCTTGGCGTGTCACCCGTCGCGTGACGTATCGCCGTCGCTTGGCGTGTCGCCCGTCGCTTGGCGTGTCGCCCGTCGCTTGGCGTCCCGCCCGTGGCTTGGCGTCCCGCCCGTGGCTTGGCGTGTAGCCCGTCGCTTGGCGTGTCGCCCGTCGCATGGCGTCTCGCTCGTCGCTTGGCGTGTCGCCCGTCGCATGGCGTCTCGCTCGTCGCTTGGCGTGTCGCCATCGCTTGACGTCTCGCCCGTCTGCCGCGGGATGATCACTGTGGGAGGAGCGTGGTTCTTGCTCGAAGCAGCGGCACCCTCACTCTCGCTGCTGGCTCTCCGTGCTCGGACACAGTTTCCGCCGAAACGAAAAGAATCGTCGCCGGCGCCGGCCGACTACGCCTGCGACCGGCGGGCAACCAGTGATCGAGGAGACTCCACGCGATCGACAAGTCAGTATTCTCTGCACACAGGCTGGCAATGCTCGCCGCTTCTGCATCCTCTGCTGCATCCGCTGTTGCCGACACCCTATGAGTTACCGTTACCGTCAAACGGGTCAGCGCTCAGCGATTCGCTGTTTCTGCTGCGGCTAAATACGATGGCTACTGGCGCAACTTCTTATGTGCGTACGAATAGTCCGTTCTAGTAGTGACCTGCGCGCCAGACAGCTACTCTACATATTCACGAATCGTGCAGCATCGATAGCCGTCGCCAATTGGTGGATGCTCGAAACTTCCACTACAACTGAAGTCTAGCAGGATACTCGATCTATCTGATACGTACTGGGTCCGTGAAAGGTTACTAAACTGCAGCCGTTTCAACACTCATGGTTTTATCAGCTAGTTCGAGCGACATGGAACACAGAGTATAGTAACGGGGTCAATCTGGCACCATCCCGCTGTATTCTATCAAACATTTTTAACACCATCAACGCCATCAGCTGCACTCGCTAGGAATATGCGGAAGCCATGGCGGCGAGTCTGAGTTGTGAGCCAAGTGGCAGGAAGGAGAGTGAATGAGCAGGGAGGGGAAGATCCAGCGGAAGAAGAGTCGAGAATCACTCACCTCACCGCCTACCTCCGCAGCTCCTGACAGTACTGACTTCGGTTCGCCGCTGGGTCTGGTAAGAAAATCGCAACTCATCGATGCTCATTGGCGAAAAGCCGAGAACCCCAACAATGACCACCAGACGTGAACAGGTTCGGAATCGAAACCAGGAAGTGTTTCAAAATTAGCGGAAAAACAGGGGATCCGTGTCGCTTGTTCTTGCACTGGGAATAGTCTCACTATTGTTCGACGACAAACAAAGATGCGTGTCATGTCCTACATGAAAAACTGGCATGTTGAATCAATATGAAGCATTATTTGTTCTTCTTGCACTAGTTTCATTAGCCATAAGCAAAACGTCATAGAACGCCAACATGAACCATCATAACCATATAAGTCACCATAACCATATACACGGATCATAAGCATTGTATTGTGTTGATTTTATTTTTCTTACAGTTCCTCGCGTTTGACAGATTTGGATCTCTTCCTCAATCAATATCTACGTGTCATTATTGCTGCATAGCATATCTGCTCATTGGTATTTATTTGATTCAAGGTACAAGTCCATTGGTCCATGTATCAAATAATTTCTCGATCCATGCATGCTGAGATAAAAAACAGTGTACCCACCGATTTTTTCTGCATTCAGACAAACCAATGGGACCTTGAAAACATTAAGCAAACAGCCCTCTCAAACCTATGGGACCTTGAAAAATCGTTTGACCGACATCTGGTTGCCGGCTTCAACAGCCTCCGATTCCGTTTTTCTACGCTTTGGCGCCATTTTAAAACCCTTTGCTCCTTTAGCATGTCGTTTTGTCGACAGAGGAGGTCCCAGCTTGGACGGGGTGACGGTCGCAGCAACAGGGGGAGCAGAAGCAGGACCTGGTGAGTGCTGGTCGGACTGTGAGGAAGACTGAGAAGCGTTGGCACGAGTATCCTGGGGAAGAGGGGTCATAGGGACCAGCACTTCAACCACGCCTCTCTCACTGCGTTGCTCACCAGCACCCTCTTGTGTCTCATTGCCACTGGAACCACCCTTTGCTTGCTCCTCACTCGCCCCATCCCCCTCATCAACCCCTGCCCCAGCCTCCACCGGTGCTTCCTGCACCCCAGCCGGCTGTGTCTCCTCCTCTCCACTGCCTCCCTCCTCGCTCTTCACTCCCTGCCCCTCTCTCTCTGCACCTACTGTCTCTGCTTCCTGGTTGTCCACACCTCCTGTGCCCTGCGAATCAGCGGGTGGCGCCTTTTGTCTCTTGCGGGCAAAGAGCTGAGTGATTGGGGTGGATGAGAGCGCCGGCTTCAATGAAATCTGCGAGCATTGGGCAGAGAGAGAAGGGGGGGCACCCAAACGGGGTGCAGCAGACACAGCAGTCAAGATAAGGCAAAAGAGACGGTGTTTAGAGGAACAACGCCTGCCTGATTGGTGAATCTTCCACTGTCCTCTTACTCCCCCCACCCATTCACCCATCCCCCTTCTCCCTCCCGCCCATCCCTTAACATTCGCGTGGTCTCACCGGCTCCACACACTGAGGGCCGTTGAAGGCCGGCTTTCCCACCTCAGGCGTCACTGCGTGCCACACCTGCCATGCGGGGGAGGTGCGCGGGGTTAAAGGAGGGAGGGGGGAGACGGTGATCAAGATAGAGCCGTGCAAAATAGAGCGGAGCGGTCAGGCAGGCAGGCAGTCAGGCGGGCAGAGAAGGATGGGACGAGGGAAACAGCAGGAGAGTGGTATGGTATAGACCAGGTCGGGGTGGTTGTAGGGCGTGCAGAGGTGGGTGATGGCGTCAGGCCCTGAGAGCTTGCCGTGCAGCCATGCGGCGACGTGGTGCTGTGATGGCAGGATGGCAGGCATGCGGTCTGATGGGGGGGGGAGGGGAGGGAGAGGGGGGATGAGCAGTGCACAGCAACAAGGGAAGGGTGAAGCTCAGAGAGAGAGCGAGGCATGGCAGGAGCACTCAGGGTGGGTAGGACGAAGGGGCGCGAGAGGAGAGGAAAGGAAGAAATGTTTGGATGAGTGCTGGCTGGTGGAGGGAATGAGAGGCCGCCTACATTTGACAGGAAGGATGTGGCAATTCTTCTCACCAACTTTCACAGTCCTCTCACCATTTGCAAAAGTTGGTGGGCAGTGGCGAGTGGGATGGAGGTCTCACCGTGCAGCCACTGCAGGCGCTGTGACGATGCCGTTGTGACTATAGTGAAGGTGAATAGCCGCTCGCCTGGCGGTGGCGTGAGCAGGTCATGACGAGCGAACGCCAGATGGGGTGTTGGGGGAGTGCGGGGGGGGATAACGAGATGCAGAGATAGAGGAGTATAAATGGGTGGACGTGAAAGCGCATTAACAGATGGGTGCGAGGGGTATTGCAGTCGGCAAAGGGTATTGCTGTCCTCTCACCACCACACGTCATTGCGCCGTGGGGTCTCGCCTCCACCCGTAGCATCGCCCCCTCCCCCTCACCCTCCACTCACCATGTTTCGCGTTTCCCCCCTATCTCCCCCACTCACTGTGCATGTCTTTCGCTCCCCCCTCCTCTCACCATATACGTTGCACCAGCAAACAGCCCCGCCATGCCATCACCACCGGCGTTCCCCCGCTCCCCCCGCTCACTGTGCTTGGTGTCTCCCCCCCACCCCCACTCACCTTGCTTGTCATTTCCCCCCTATCACCCTGTGCGTTGCGCCAGCAGTCAAACAACCCCGCCATCACCATGCTTGCCCTTTCCCCCCCTTTCCCCCCACTCACTGTGCTTGCTGTCTCTCCCCCCCCCCCCTCCCTCCTTACTGTCCTTACTCACCCTGCGCGTCACGCCAGCAGTCAAACAGCCCCGCCATCACCATCGGCCTCCCATCGCTCATGTGGATGTAGAACGGCTGCTTCTTGGAACCTTCCTTCTTCCACTCGTAGAATCTGGCAGCGTAAGAAGGGCAAGGAGGAGAAATAAGAATGCATCGCATACATGTATTACTGAAATGAATATCCGCATCCTTCCAACCCCCCTCGACCCTCTCACATCTCACCCCTTCTCATCCCTTTTCATCCCTCCTCGCCTCCTCTCACCCCTCCCACCCCTGTCTCTCACCCCTCCAGCAGCACAATGCAGCGCTGGGAGGGCAGCAGGCGGCGGAAGGACGGCTTGGCGTGCAGCGACTCACCCGTCACACCCATCTCACCCATCTCACCCCTCTCTGCCGCCCCACTCTCCCACCCCTGTGTCTCACCCCTCCAGCAGCACAACGCAGCGCTGCGAGGGCAGCAGGCGGCGGAAGGATGGCTTCGTGTGGAGCGACTCACAGCGCGCATTGAACTGGGGGGAGGGGGGGGGGGGGGGGAAGGGGGGGGGGAAAGGAGGTGGGAGGGAAGCAGGCGGCGGAAGGATGGCTTGGCGCGCAGCGACTCACAGCGCGCATTGAACTGGGGGGGGGAGAGGGAGAGGAGAGAAAGAGGGGGCAGGGGTGGGGGGAAGGAGGGTGTGATGGGAGGGGAGGGGAAGGGGGAGAGAGGGGTGGGGGTGAGAAGGCGGAAGGACGGCTTGGCGTGCAGCGACTCACAGCGCACATTGAACTGCACGGAGGGGAGGGGAAGAGTGAGGTTAGGGAAGCAAGACGAATGTAGCATGAAGCGAGTGAGTCACTGTGAGTCCCTGCACTGCGTGCATTGACCACCATCGCCATCATCACAATCACCTGCACCACCAGGATCACCCCCCCCCCCCCCCTACCACACCCCACTACCATCACACCGTGTGGAAGTGGTATGGCGGCTCACAGCACTGCGTGCATTAGCACCCGTCCCCATCATCCCACCCTCATCCCCACCACCATCACACCATGCGGAAGTGGTCGGGTGGCTGTGTCTTGCTGCAGAACGACGGCACCAGCCCCCACTTCATCACCTGCACCTCCACCTCCCCCCCCGCCTGCCCCTTCCGCTCCCCCTCCGCCTCCACCTGCCCCTTCCGCTCCTCCTCCGCCTGTACCCCTTGTTCTTCATCCGCCTGCTCTTCTTGCTCCGCTTCTCCCGCCTTCCCCCTCCCCCCTCCAATCTCCCCCTGCGCGCGCCCTTCCTCGACCGCCTCTTCCGCCTCCGCGAATCTATCCTCCGCGCCTTCCGCTTCCGCAGGGACCAGTTTGGCGGAAGCGGAAGCAGCATGCGGGGAGGCGGACGGGGCGGCGGAAGAGGCGGCGCGGACGACGGGCAGAAAGGTGCCCGGCGCGACGTTGAAAGATGGGCGGAACCTGCCGTCAGCGTGCGCAGCACAGACACGCGCGGGCGCAGATGAGCGCACATGCTATGAGTTGCGTGAGATGGCGCATGAGCGACGTGGCGCGCTGAATAAGCGAACGAAATGACGCGCGATGCGACAACGAAGCGACGTGAGCGACGACGGCCGGTAAATGAGAGGAGCCGAGAGTAAAGAGAGGAAAGCAGGCAGCGCGGTGCGCCTGCTTCCGCGTGAGGCATGGCAAATCGAGATTCAGAAGATCTTGGGGGAAGGGGTGCATGTCGCTTGAAACGAGGAGACGGAGGTAAGAGGCGCGGAACACGCACAGATGTTGGTCGCGCCACTCGGGTCGCGCGCCGGTCGCGCGCGTGGCGGCGTCTGGCGACAGCGTGCAACGCGCGCGTCCGCACATCGCGGCGACGTCTGAATTCACCGCCTAGGAGATAAAGACGGAAGACGGAATCGTCAAGCGCGTTGGCTGAAAATCTAAGAAAACGTCATCGTGAATAGGAAGAGTGGATCGGCGAAGCTGTCGCAGCCGTCTGTCTGTCAGGTTCAAATATCAACCTGGGCGATGCGAGCACGCACCACACCCTGCCTATTGTGATGTCGTCACGGTGACGGCACGTCAGGGCGGGATTCTGACCGAGACAAGTTGAGGTTGCAGAATTGGCGCCAAGCCTTCTTTTGTGCCTGCGGCGGGGAAGCGAGGACGTGCATGGTGGTGGTTGTGACTACCGCCCCTGTCATGATCCGCTTTAGAGGGATTCGGAGTGAAACAGCGGATATCAGAAAGACACTCACATGTCTGCAGATTATCGTTTCCAACTTCACGCCCAAGTCGATATCATAAACCCCCAGTAACTCGAACTAACTTCCCAATGAATTTCTCATTCCTAACGCGTACAGCAAATTCTTCCTCTCGCCAGCCTCCTGTTTTCAGGCTCGCATTTGCGGCGTGCTCTGCCATTTTGTGGCGTGCTTGCGGCGCTTCTCCCGGGACCTGGCGTGCGGAACGGCGGGTTCGGAGAGGTGATTGCGCGGAAGAGCGCGTTCCGCGCGCGGATAGACCGTGCGGGTGCAGGTAGACAGTGCAGGTAATCCCGCGACCAGCGCGCGCACAGCGCAGTGTATTGAGTCGACTCAAAACTAGACCGTGCGGGTGCAGGTAGACCGTGAAGGTAATCTCTCGACCAGTGCGTGCACAGCGCTGGCGAGGAGTCGTAGATCGGCGGCAGTCTTCGAGAGTCGTAGACAGTTGGCGATAGTCGGCGCGAATGTCGGCGAAATAATGTCGGCGAGAGTACAAAACCGGGACGTATCGAGAACGTGCGACGACCATGTAAAGCAGTCGGCGAGATCCATTCGCATAAAAAAAAAACACAAAAAAAACCGCGCCCGTTCCAACTCACTCCCCATCCGCTGTCCCTCTTTCGCAAAACCCGCGTCATTTGACCCCCTGTTCCCCTTCGCGCGCTCCCCTTCCCCTGCGCCAGGCGCGGCTTCATGACGTCACGCGCGCAACAGCTGAGGGGGATGCTGGGCCGCACGAGGCGGGCGTGCGCCGCTGCCACGTCACGGGATTCGCTGCTCTCTGCCACGTGGCAGCTCGCGGTTGCGTCGGACACATCACTGTTAGCCACTAGCCGAGCGCATGGCGCAGCAACTCTTAGCGCAGCGGGGAATGCAGCAGCAGGCGCTGCAGCGGGCGCATCAGCACAGGCAGCAGCGCCGTCTTCGTTGTTACAACCATTGGAGGGCGTTGCTGTGCCTCTACACTTTCAAGCATCCGCGCCCGTCGCTCTGCGGTCCCTGGGATCCCTCGAGTGCTCCCCCCAGCCATCCCTTTTCGCCCATGCTCTCCCGTCGTCTCGCTCCCACGCGCTGCTCTGTAAACCATGGGGGGCACAGCCACAGACCCTGTTGGAATGGCCTCGTGTGCAGGTTGTGGGTGGGGTGCGCACGAGTCACAGTCAGTCTGCTGCTGCCATTCACTCGTGCGCGCAGCCCCAGCAGCTGAGCGCCGCGCTGCTTCTCCGCCTGCCACGTGGCATGCGGCCATTGGTACTGCAACCAGTAGAAGCAAAAACCGGAGTGCAGCAGGTGAGGTGGGGCTGGGTGGGATAAGGTGGTGTGGGATGGTGTGGGGTGGGGTGTCACGGCAGGTGTGAGGGGCGGCTCTGGCTGATGATTGATTTGGATTGCAGGGAGGTAGGTAGAGTGCGAAATGTCAGGTCACAAGTCCACATTTGGCCCCACCATGCATGCCGTGCCCCACCATGCATGCCGTGCCCCACCATGCATGCCATGCCCCACCATGCATCTCGCCCCCAAGTCCAGTTTGGCCCCACCATGCAGGCCACGTCCCAAGCTGCACATTGTACGCAACCCCCCCCCCCCTTCTCACTCTCCCCACCCCCCCTCTCCCAATGCTTTCCCTGCAGCAGCATCGGTGGTACGCCACACAGGGAAGCAACGGCAGGGGGGGCAATGAGGGAGGCACTGGGAGGCGGGAGGTGGTACGGCAGGAGGAGGAGGACGTGTTCAGCAGCATCACCGACAAGATCCCCGAACGGAACGTCTCCGCTGCCGAGGGCGCGTCCTGCATGCCATGCCATGCCGCAAGTTGAACACTGTACCCACCACCCAACCTCCCTTCTCCCCCCAATGCGCTTTCCTGCAGCAGCATCGGTGGTTCGCCACACAAGGCAGCAGCAGTGACGGCAAGGGGAGGCGGGAGGTGGTGCGGCAGGAGGAGGAGGACGTGTTCAGCAGCATCACCGACAAGATCCCCGAACGCCCTGTGTCCGCCGCCGAGGGCGCATCGTACTCAATCGTCATCCTGGCTGCGCTGGCTGTGGCGGCCGGGGCGGCGTATTTTGTCGTCAAGGAGCTGCTGCTGGAGCCCAAGGAGTGCGTGTGCACAGATGGGGAGGGGAACTGTGGAAGAAGGAATGGAGGGGCTGTGTTGCATGTCATTGTGAGAGCATGCGCCTGCTAATTGGCTGTGAGAGGGGTGATGTACTTGGGTACTGCATGTTCATGCCTTTCATTGACGGACTCGTGTGCTTGCTATGCTGCAGATACAAGGTGTTCAATAAGGCCCTTCAGCGCGTGCAGAACGACCCTCAGGTGTGTTCCCACATCCGTTTGCGCACACCTTCTTCAGTACACGCCTACAAAGCTACGCAAAGTTATCCGATCTGCGTTTTACAAACACCTGCTTCAGCTGTTCTTTTCCCACGCCCTCTCCTGCTGGGTGTCTCCTGTCTTCACACTCTAGCTCATGCTCCACATGCACGCCATGAGATCAAATCACCCTTGTGTTGCCATGTGTGCATCAGGTGATATCACGGCTGGGGTCGCCCATCACGGGGTACGGCCAGGAGAGCCGGAACCGGGCGGCACGGCAGCGAATCAGCCACCGCGTGTGGACGGATGAGGAAGGGGTGGAGCGGATCCAGGTACACCTCGCATGCTGCCCCTCTTCCCCGTCAACCCCACCACGCATCCATGAGCATTCCCTTGTTTTTATCACAGAATTTGACACTCAGTATGGTGTATTTGTCTCACTGTGTTCCGTTGTCCTGCCGCCTCTTCTGGCTGCTGATTGGTGGCAGGTTCAATTCCACATCCGAGGTACAGGGGGCACAGGGCTTGTGCACGCTGAGATGTTCAAGGACAGTGATGATGGCGGAGCTTGGAAGTTTACGTACCTCCTTGTTGATGTAATGAGCCCATCTCCAACAAGGCTCATGTTGGAATCGTACGTTCCAACATGAGCACTTTGGGTTTTTTCAACAATTGTTGCGTAAAAAATAGTGTGCTTGTAAATCCGAAGCCACCTTAATTAGGAAATACAGGAAATTGTGATGTATTATATGCTGTATGTGTTGGATAATTGTGACTCACACATGTTCTGGTGGTCAATATCGGTGCGACCCTGTTTATTGACCACTGATCAGCAATTTACTCGCCACATTCAAATTGAGCACACTCATGTTGTGGCTGAAACAACTCCCTGCCAGCCATCGAACCACTTCTCTTTGACCTTCCGGGTCGCTCTGGAATTTCGCCCCTCAAAATTTCAACAAACCCCGCCAAACCGGTAACTCGACCTGACAGTGCCACGGTGGCATCCCTGATTCCTATGCCAATGAGAATGGCCGCGACTCGCTGGTGCTGTGAGTGTCTGTCGCCAGAGCAATTCGAACATCGCTTCCCCCTGGGCTGGTCGCGGCTCGTCACTTCCCCCTCAGCGCGACCCGGATGTGTGTAGCCCAGAGACCATCTCGCCCCATCTCCTCCGCGCGCCCCCCATATTCCTCTCATGATTGGTTCAAATCTCCGCAGAAGCACCAGTTTGGCGGACCAATTAGGGGCAGCGGGGGATAGAACAGCGTGGATTGAAGGATGCAGAGGCGTGGGCGCAAGCGATCAGAACGGCTTGATGCGCGGATGGTTGCCCATCGACAACGACATCAGGTGAGACAGTTTCGAGGGACAGGCAGGCAGGACTCTGCAGCACAGGCAGTTGGGTTTGGGCTCAGACAGAACCCGCAGAGGCGAACAACGGAGCGCGTCGCTTGCGCTGTCGCCGTCGACTTTTGATGCTTCGAGAATTCGCAGTGCGACTGCTGCTGGTGGTGGCGTGCTGTGTGGCGTCGTGGCCTTGGGCAGAGCGTATGGTGCTTCCAGAGCAGCCATGGTCAGGACCACGCAGCTTGGCAGCTCCTCCAATGCAGGCATGCTTTGTGCTATGTGGATACAGTCGAGTACGCAATCTTGGACCTTATCTCCTCCGTGAGCAGTTTTGTCGCAGGAGTAACATCGATCAGTCAACGGAACCACCCATTTGTCAGATGATATTAGAAATGCACGACATCCAGCAATAAACATTTGCTTTTGCGACTTCCCTTCCAGTAATAGCTCGAACAGCAAGCAGTCCGGCTTGCAAATTTCCATGTAGAGCTGCTGGTCAAGCAGCGGTTCCAGTCGCGTAATCAGTAGCTCTCATAAAGGCGCCACGTTGGCAATTCAGGTAATGGGTCCTAGCATCGCCAGCCCGATTACGCTCCCTGTTCCGTCCATAGCACAGTCCGCCTGCAACGCTCCGCGCCCGCCGGGAGCGGGCCATAGCGACGCGCTTAGTCCTCTTCACGCCGCGTCGCTTGGCCCAACCGCATCGCAGTCAGAGTCCATGGACGTGCGCGGGACACACGCTAGTGCTGACGTGGATAACGAGAGCAACGACCGATGGCAGCAGTGGCAGGAGGAGCGACAGCGAGAGACGTCTAGCGCGCTCGAGCCGACTCCTAAGAGGTTACGCGGCTCGTACCGCTGCCGTCGCTGCGGCCAGCCTAAGAAAGGCCACGTGTGCCCGCTGACATCACCTTCTCCCGCACCGCCGTACGCCCGTCGTCCATGTCAGTCCAATCCGCACCACGCGAACCACTCCCATCCGCCTAACCCCTCTTCTTCCGTCGGATGCGGCGATCCTTCGTGCGGCGGCGCGTGCGGCAACTCCCGCGACTGCGGATTCGATTCGCCCAGCGGGATCACCCGCGCGGACGTGCGCAAGCCCGCGTCGTGCGGCATGGGGAACATGCAGCCGCTGCGCCTCCCCGACGCCTCCGCCGGCCCCGCGGACTCCGCCAACGCCTACACTGCGGACGGCGGACGCTCCTCCGCGTGCCACGGCGGGCCGAACGCGCATATAAGCCTCACCGCGCCCGCGCTCACCGCATCATGCCGCAGCCTCCCCAGGTACTGGAGCAAATCAGCGCGTGCGTTGTTGATTAGGCACACGCCATGGCATCCGTCCATGACGAACTCCAAAGCCGTTTTTTTTTTGTCGGCGACTCCATAATCTCAAAACCAATTTGCAGTTTTGTCGCATGTCCATGTCCGTTCCACTCTCACATAGTCCACCTCAGGCAGAGACTCAGCTCCGAATGCCATGATTGGAATGAATCTTACGGCTATGCTCTTCCCGTCTTCATGACCGCTCTCTCCCCGCCCTCGGCCTCTGCTCCCGCCCCTCCCATCCACCAGTCGCAGCGGCTTGTCGGACTCCAACTTCTCCTTCCCCGCCGCGCACACCCACGCGCACGGCAACGCGCACGGCGCCATCACCTCGAGAATGGCGCCCCACTGCGCCTCCCCGCACAGCCTTCCGCCGCTCTCCCACTCGAGCCTCCGCCCTGGTCCCCCCGGGTGAGTCCGCTGCTTCCGGTCGCGTTATGTCTCACTCTCAATCCTCCTCGAGTCAGCTCAATTCAGCGCGGGACTGCTTACCGCTGGATTCCCTGCCTGTATGCTCGCCTGCCGTCTTGTTTCTCACGTTCTGACGTCGCGCACTGGGCGTCGTGCAGGGCGAGCGGGCCGGCAGCGGCGGGTTCCGTGCGGCCGGTGGTGCAGAGGAGTCCCCAGGATATGTGCATGCTCAACATCCTCGCTAAGGTAATTGCGCGTGCATCCTCGCTAAGGTAATTGCGCGTGCATCCTCGCTAAGGTAATTGCGCGTGCATCCTCGCTAAGGTAATTGCGCGTGCATCCTCGCTAAGGTAATTGCGCGTGCATCCTCGCTAAGGTAATTGCGCGTGCATCCTCGCTAAGGTAATTGCGCGTGCATCCTCGCTAAGGTAATTGCGCGTGCATCCTCGCTAAGGTAATTGCGCGTGCATCCTCGCTAAGGTAATTGCGCGTGCATCCTCGCTAAGGTAATTGCGCGTGCATCCTCGCTAAGGTAATTGCGCGTGCATCCTCGCTAAGGTAATTGCGCGTGCATCCTCGCTAAGGTGCGCGTGCATCCTCGCTAAGGTAATTGCGCGTGCATCCTCGCTAAGGTAATTGCGCGTGCATCCTCGCTAAGGTAATTGCGCGTGCATCCTCGCTAAGGTAATTGCGCGTGCATCCTCGCTAAGGTAATTACGCGTGCATCCTCGCTAAGGTAATTGCGCGTGCATCCTCGCTAAGGTAATTGCGCGTGCATCCTCGCTAAGGTAATTGCGCGTGCATCCTCGCTAAGGTAATTGCGCGTGCATCCTCGCTAAGGTAATTGCGCGTGCATCCTCGCTAAGGTAATTGCGCGTGCATCCTCGCTAAGGTAATTGCGCGTGCATCCTCGCTAAGGTAATTGCGCGTGCATCCTCGCTAAGGTAATTGCGCGTGCATCCTCGCTAAGGTAATTGCGCGTGCATCCTCGCTAAGGTAATTGCGCGTGCATCCTCGCTAAGGTAATTGCGCGTGCATCCTCGCTAAGGTAATTGCGCGTGCATCCTCGCTAACGTAATTGCGCGTGCATCCTCGCTAAGGTAATTGCGCGTGCATCCTCGCTAAGGTAATTGCGCGTGCATCCTCGCTAAGGTAATTGCGCGTGCATCCTCGCTAAGGTAATTGCGCGTGCATCCTCGCTAAGGTAATTGCGCGTGCATCCTCGCTAAGGTAATTGCGCGTGCATCCTCGCTAAGGTACTTGTTGATCGAATTCGCCTAACTACTTGAATTTTCGCCATGTCCGATGGCAAGACTTCAGCCGCTCTCCCTCAGCCGCCCCGCGCCTTCTCGTCGCTGGCGACGGACGCGCTCGTCTACGTGCCCTTCATGCTGCGCCGCTGCCCGCGCCTCGTGCACCTCTCGCTGCAAGCCGCCAGGTACGACCTGCTCTCGTCGCGACTCGCCTGTCGTCTTGTCTCGATGTTGTTGTGCTGTCCTCTCGACTTCTCTCGTCTCCTATGCTGGTTACCCTTTTTTTCTCTCCGCAATGGTTACCAGTTGCGGAGAATTCAGTGCCCTCCAGTGCAGTTGCTGTGCTCACGATGCTCACGCTCCTCCTCCTGCTCCCTTCCCCCTTCCTCCTGCTGCTCTCGTGTCGCCAGATGCGTGGACGATCGCCTACTGCATCGCATAGCCGCCGAGCAGCCAAATTTGGAGTCGCTCGTCATTCGCACGGCGCCCAACGTCGCATGCCACGTCACGGAGTGAGTTGGCTGTCTAACACCACGTTGCGGAGTAATGAGGACCACGTGACTTTCCACGGAACGGAATCTTCATAGCTTTCGCATGACGACCACATGCTGTCTCCGCGCGCTGGCTCCCTGACTTAACCTCTTCCCTTCCGTCTCTCCCTCCCCAGCAACGGCATGGCGGCGCTGCTACACGGGTGCGCGTCGCTGCGCGCCGTGGACATGGACGGATGCATCGCACTGCCATCGCTCACCGTCGCCTCGCAGTCGTAAGCATCCCGTCGCCCGTCGCAGTTGCCCGGCGCAGTCGCACTACTCGCCATATCATGCCATCCCATGCCGTGCCATGCGGGGCGGACTGCTCGAACCACCCCTCACCAGTCCACTCGCTGCCACACCATCATGCTCCTGTCCAAATGGTTTTGCAGTTCCCTCCCGTTTTCATGTATTTTCCTACGGTTTCAACTTGCGCTCCTCCTTCCCCAGCTCACACTCCTCTCCTCCCTCTCTCCTAACCTCACCCCTCCTCTTCCCCCCGTTCCCCCCCCCCAGCTTGACGGCGCTGACGCTCTCCGCCTGCGCGCGCCTGTCGCGCCTCTCCCTCGCGTGCCCCTCGCTGCAGCGCCTCTCGCTCTCCCTCCTCCCCGCGCCCGCTCCGCCCTCCGCCGCTCCGCCGGCGCGCACGTGCTCCCAGACGCACGCGCACGCTAGCGCGCAGATGAGCGGAGATCCCGCGCACGCGGAGGCGGTGATCAGCCACGTGGCCAGCCTGGCGGCGCCTCTCGAGCGCCTGCACATCGCGTCGCCCTACACCACCGACTCGGTACGCGCTTTCCGCTCTTGAGGATTCTCACGCGCCTCGCTGCTGCGAGAGTGGTGCTGTCCTCGCGCCTTCCGCCGCACCCCTTCTCCGGACGTGCGCTCATCTGCCGCCTGCTCCTGCCAACCCTCCACTACTCGTCCCCTCGCCCACTCGTCTCCTCGTCTCCTCGCGTCTCATCCCTTCGTCTCCTCCCGTCTCTCCCGTCTCATGCAATGTCGTGTGTGCGCAGATGGTGGCGGCGCTGGTGCGCGCACACGGGTCGTCACTCTGCGCGCTCTCCATCACGCACTCGCTCTCGCTCACCGATGGTACACCCACTCGCCCTCCCGCTCCCACTCCCGCCCCGTGCACGCCATCTCTCATCCCCTTTCTTCCGCCTTTGGACCCTGTCCGTCTCGCTCGTTCTGCCTTCCATCGCGCCCTTCCGCACCCACCCATTCCCGCTCATGCGTCACCCCCATACCCCCCGTGCGCCCATCGCCCGTCTCCCTCCCTCCCATGCGCGCGCACCAGAGGGCGTGGCGGACATCTGTCGCGCCTGTCCGCATCTGCAGCACCTCGACCTCTCCGCCTCGCCCAACCTCTCAGATGCCGCCCTCCACGCCATCAGGTGAGGGCTCCGCTGTTGCCGTCAGTTGGGGCTCTGTTATTGCTCGCTTTTGCTACGTGCACTCTCACCCTGCCTCTCTCTCTTTCCCTCTCCGTTCCCTCCCTCATGCACAGTTCACTCATTAATCTCTTTATTCTCCCACCTCCCTCCCACGTCTCCCCTTCCCCTCCCACCAGCGCCTCGCTCTCTCACTCCCTCACACACCTCCTCCTCGCCGCCTGCCCTGGCATCACGCCACGTGGCGTGCAAGCATTGGTGCAGCGCCTCCCCAATCTGGAGCTGCTAGACGTGGGGCGGTCGCTGCTCCCCCGCGCCCCCTCGCCCTCCCCCACCCTCGCCAGCGCCGCCAGCACCACCACCGCCATGGGCGCAGGGGGCATGGCGGACGGGTGGAGGGGGAACAGCGGGGGACAGTGGGGGGACGCGGGGGGCGATTTTCAGGGGGAGATGGGGATGGGGATGGATGGGGGAATGGGGGGAACGGGGGGCGAAGGCAGCAACGGATACATGGGGGGTGGGGAGGGCAGTGGTATGGGGGCGTCAAGCGCAACAGGCACGACAAGAGGAGTGTCGGCAGGAGGGGAGGGGCGGCGGTTAGAGCTGCGCAGCAGCAGCCTGAGGAAGCTCAGTCTCTGGGGCTGCTCTCTGCTGCAGGTGAGACGTGACTGCTTGCTTCAAGGGGTGACACAAAGGGATCTCAGGCTCATGCCATGCTGCTCCGTGCGCTGCTGATCAGCACTTCATGCTGCAATTGGACAAGCATGGAGCCATTGACTTGGTTCTAACCTCCCCTCCCATGCCCCCTTCCCTCCCGTGCCTCCTCCCTCCTCTGCCTGCCCCTCCAGACGCTTGTCCTCGACTGCCCGCAGCTGGAGCACCTTAATGTGAACTCCTGCACCGCACTGCACCCATCTGCCTACGGCTGCCGCCTCAACTGCCCGTCGCTGCGGTTCATCCTGGCCGTTGGATGCCCCGTGTCGCCCCACACCCTTCTGCGCGCGGCGTGCCTTGCAGACCAATCCCCGTGCATGGGCGATGGCATGGGGGATGGTATGGGGGATGGTATGGGTGATGGTATTGGGGATGGTATAGGTGATGGTATGGGTGATGGTATGGGTGATGGTATGGGGAATGGTATGGGTGATGGCATGGGCGATGGTTATGGGGATGATATGGGTGATGGCATGGGGGATGGTATGGGGAATGGCATGGGCGTCCCTCCCAACACTTGCATGGGCGATGACATGGGGAATGGCATGGTCAATAGCATGGGGAATGGCATGGTCAATGATGGCATGGGTCCATCTCAAAGCGGGTATGTGGGAGATGGCATGGGGAATGGCATGGATCCATCCCTTGGCTCGTATGTGGGAGATGGCATGATGCATGCACAACCAAGTGCATGGCAACCCCCTTCCCACACGCAGACGGGGAATGGCATGGTAAATGACATGGGGAATAGCATGGGGAATGGCATGGGTAATGGCAGCGCATACTGCAACACGGATGCTGATGGCATGGTGGATGGCATGGCAGGGACTCCGTCCCAAATGCACATGCAGACGCAACCACACATGCACCCACATGCACACATGCACATGGGAGGGCAGATGCAGCAGCAGGGGCAGGTGATGGTGTGGGAGTGAGGAGCTGAAGGGGCTGCTTTCATACTAGGTGGCTGGGGTTTTATTTCTGAAGCACTGACAAACATAGATCGGTAGGAAGCCAGTACGGTGGCACGCAAGAAGAATAAATAGGCAGGGTGTATTTTTAGAAGCATATGGCTTTGGTTTGGTTGAACGCATGTAGCCTATGGCAACACCAATGGTTCAGAAAGCTTATGCTACACATTCTCAGGTTATTGCACAGAATGCAACACAGCACAACCCCGTGAAGATTTACCGCATGTTTCCTAACGATGTGTGTGCACATGTTCCCATGTTCCAGACATGTAGCCGCATTTCAATGAAACGGGTATGGGAAAGAACAGCGGCGGCACCCAGGCAAGCCGCATGCAGTGGTTCACTCGTGGGTGGTTGATTCGAGGCAGCTGCGACAAACGACACCAGAGAGCTGTCAATGTTACCCATCATGCATCACCTTGGGTTCTGCAGAGCGGCGAGCTTGTTGCGAGCTTGTTGTAATGTGGCACTTGTGATGACTCAAAAACAGAACATGCAGTGCGCTAGTGCCTTGTACTCCTGCCAGGGCCATGCCATGCAAGAGGGCGGGGAAAGGGGCCGGATATAGATATACATACATGCATGTTGGTTACAACCACGCATGGAGCCTGATAGCATCTCGTACTCCTGCCGGAGGAGTGGCGCGAAGGAGTGCAAGGGACAGCAAAAAAAAGGGCAGCAGTGCAAAGAAAGCGGCCACGGCGAGAGAAGCGGATGAGATGTGGCAAGAGCACTGTTCAACCACACTAGCTTCCTATGCTCGGCTCCCTCTCCGCTCACTCTCTTACCTCTCTCCTCTCTCTCACTCTCCTCTCCCTCTGCACACTCTGCTTGACTCCGCCCACCTCTCCTCAGCCTCATCCATCCTAAAGCATCTTCATCAACCGTTCTTCTCACCTCATTGTCCCCCGCCTCCTCTGCCACGCGCTGCCTGCACAAGTGCCATCCCCGATTGAAGAGCGTGCAAGCATGCCGCCTGACCATGGCTTTGAGAATTCTCAAAGGCTTCCCACTTGTCCATGCTGAGTGCCCGGCGGTACTGCCGGCCCGCCTGCACCAGCAGCAGCTGCTGCAATCACTCATCTGCCCGTCGACCCATCACTGCCTTCCCCTCCCTCACCACCTGCTCCTGCTCCACCAACAACAGCAACCATCGGCAACACCCCCATGGGCACCGTCCCCATCGCCAACCCACCCCCTGTCCTCCCATCACCCAACCTGCCCCTCCTCCCCCTCCTGATCACACGGCCCTCCTCCCCACAGGCCCCTTCTCCCACATCTCACCGACTCCCCGCAGCAGCCCTTAAAGCTCGCATCTCATATTTACAAGCGTTTAACACTCGGTTGGGTTTGCACGTCCACGATTGGTTCCGCCAGAATCGCACCCCAGCTCGTCACAGATTTTGTCATTCGTCAACCAGTCACGGAACCCAACCAAGTGTTAAACGCTCTCAAGTGTAAAACGGAAAAAAAAATGAGACGCGAGCTTTAAAGGGGCGAGTGAGCCCAGAGCAGCCTCCCCTCGCCATCCCTCCCTGGTCGAACTGCTTGAAGCGGTTTGACAGGAACCATCCACCCATCTCCCCTTCCTGTCCACAGTCACGTCCCCTCATTCCACATCCTCATCATCCACCCCTTTTGACCCGCACAATTCACACCTCGCCATACCCCCTTCCAGAAATCGTCAATGCTTCGTTTGAGATCAGGGGACAGTGCTCTACAGTGCATTCGTGCAGCATCGGCATATTCTGGAGGAAGGATGGAAGCTGAGCCACCTCCAGCCACTCTAGTCGAGACAAGTCTTGAAACGAAGAAGGGAGGCTACGAAGATTCGGCAGATCGCGAAGGCTAAGAAACCGTAGGGAATTTGTTTTTCCAAAGTTAGATGGAAGAGATGACAACTCGTCGCAGCTGTCAAGTGAGCAACGACGTAGTCTGGGCAGATAAGGAAACGATTTTGGAAGCTTTGATACCTTTGGACAATCACAGATTAACAACCACTCGAGCTTCTTCAACCGCCCAATCATCTCAGGCAACTGAAGCAAATTGGGCATTGAATGCAGACGGAGATATGTAAGCCTGGAAAGTCGACACACTGTTTCTGGCAGTGCTTCGAGACACGTGGCATTAGAGAGAAACAAAGATCTCAAGTTTGACAACCGAGAGACGGAAGCAGGAAGTGCAGGCATACACTCCAAGTGCAGATTGGTCAGTGAAGAGATGCAAACCAGGGATGAATCAAGAATGTCGGAAGAAACATCGTTAATGGTCAGGCTCTGCAACGATGGGAGCACTTCCACTTCAACGCACTCCAGGATGCTGCTGCTGCTGCTGCTGCAGCTGCTGCTGCTGCTGCTGTTGCTGCTGTTGCTGATGCTGCAGTTGCTCCTCCCCCCAACCAAGGGGTCCATCCTCCTTCCGCCCAAGGACTTGTAATCACTCACACCCAGCTCCTGCAGTCGAGGCAGCTTCAAAATAGAGCGAGGAATTGAGTCGAGACCATCTAATCTTGAAAGCTCGAGCTTCTCAAGCATTTGCAGCTGCCCAATCTCCTCTGGCAACGACTTCAGCTCACTGCAGTCTTGCACCGTTAGGCTGGTGAGGGAAAGAGCTAATTGAGATAATGAGGCAGCGAGTGAAGTCAGATGTGGGACGAGAGTTAAAGAGAGAGCCCTAAGGTGTGTAAAGCTGCTGAAGCCCTCTGGAAGGCAGCCGCTCAAACACTGAAGATCACACAAGTCTATTTCGTCGAGCGATGAGAGGCTGGAAAAGGATGCAGGGAGGTGGGTAATGGCTATGTTACTCAAGGTCAGCTTCCGAAGCTGGTGTAGGCCATCTCCCATCCCTTCTCGTAGGGCAGTTAACATTGTGCAGTCACGGATTTCCAACTTCTGAAGGGAAGACAGCATCGTAAAGGAGTCAGGCAGGTGGCTCAGTTGTGTTAGGCCAGACAAAATCAGAATATCTAAAGCAGATAGCTGCCCAAAGTCTTGCGGCAGGGACGAAGGACGTGGATGATGCACGGCTATGACAAAGCTTGCTAGCTTGATGCTCTTAAGCTTTGATAGCCGAAGAATGCCATCTGGCAGCTCCACACCACCTGGCTGGGTCAAGTTGAGCTCCGTAAGAGTTAAAACATTGAGCAGGGACCTGGGCAGCCACGAGGAACTGCTGTAGCTGTCGATGGTAAGCTGCTGCAGCTGTGGGAGAAGTCCAACTGTCTCTGGAAGCTCCGTGATTCCCTTCACACGCCTCACGACTAGGCACTCCAATGCCCGAAGATTTCTGAAATCCTCATGCAGCGGCAAGAGCTCTTCAAAATCCTCAAGATGAAGCTGCTTCAGTCGTTTAAGCTTGGAGAGACCACCTGGTAATTGAAATGACCTACAACCGCTGATCGAAAGTCGGATTAGATTGGCGAGCTGCTGGATGGATGCCGGGAGTGAGCGGAGAGAGTGCATGCGAAGCAGTTGTAATTTCTTAAGCGAGCCGAGGTTGCCAAAAACTTGCGGCAAATCTTGTAGGTTCGACATACTAAGCTCAAGGTTCTCAAGAAGCTGCAAAGACGTGATTGCGTCAGGAAGATGTTCAATTCTATCAGCTTTGAGGAAGAGGCTCTTGAGTCAAGACTGTTTGCTGATGGAAGGTGGAATGGTAAGGGTAGACGACAGACACATGAGGCGCAGATCCAAATAATTTGCAAGATTTCAGAGTTCCAGTTTCGCCTTGTACCTGCACACAAGCGTGCATACTGACCAAACCGACCGACACATTATTCTCTCTGCAGAAATACAATGAATACCATATGTATTCCGGTTACCTATAAATTATACCATTCCCCACCCCCTTACCATGTTTTAACCTATTGGATCTATTTAACTTGGCAGATATAGACAATCCAGTCGTACGTGGTACCTGCACTACAGGCGCGCATGACCAGCGCATTACGTATGTTTGTAGAGATGCAGTTAGTGCCATATTCTTGACAGTCCACTAGATTAGGCCTTCTACATCAACAACACTAGGTTATAACCTTTCTGATCCACATTTGGGAGATTTCAGAGTTCCAGTTCCGCCTTGTACCTACACACATGCGTGCATCCTGACCATACCGGCCGGCGCATTATTCTTTCTGTACAAATACAGCGAATACCTTATGTATTCCCATTTCCTTTAAATTATACCATTCCCCACCCCCTACTATATTTTAACCTATCGGAACTATGCAATTTGGCAGATATAGACATTCCAGTCGTACATGGTACCTGCACTGCAGGCGCGCATACCGATCAAACGGACATTACTTATGTTTGTAGTGATGCAGTTAGTGCCATAGTCTTGCCAGTCCACTAGATTAGGCCTTCTACTTCAACAACACTAGGCCTTTCCGATCCACATAATTTGGGAGATTTCAGAGTTCCAGTTCCGCCTTGTACCTACACACAAGCGTGCATGCTGACCTTACCGGCCGACGCATTATTCTCTCTGTACAAATACAGTGAGTACCATTTGTATTCCCATTTCCTTTATATTATACCATTCCCCACCCCCTACCATGTTTTAACCTATCGGATCTATGTAATTTGGCAGATATTGACATTCCAGGCATACATGGTACCTGCACTACAGGCGCGCATACCGACCAAACTGACCAGCGCATTACGTATGTTTGTAAAAATGCAGTTAGTGCCATAGTCTTGCCAGTCCACCAGATTAGGCCTTCTATTTCAACAACACTAGGTTATAACCCTTCCGATATATATATTTTGGGAGATTTCAGAGTTCCAGCTCGGCCTTGTACCTGCACACAAGCGTGCATACTGACCTTACCGGCCAACGCATTATTCTCTATGTACAAAAACTGTGAATACCATATGTATTCCCATTTCCTTTAAATGATACCATTCCCCACCCCCCTACCATGTTTTAACCTATCGGATCTATGTAATTTGGCAGATATAGACATTCCAGCCGTACATGGTACCTGCACAACAAGCGCGCATACCGACCAAACTGACCAGCACATTACGTATGTTTGTAGAGATGTAGTTAGTGCCTTATTCTTGCCATTCCACTAGATTAGGCCTTCTACTTCAACAATACTAGGTTATAACCTTTCCGATCCACATAATTTGGGAGATTTTAGAGTTCCAGTTCTACCTTGTACCTACATACAAGCGTGCATACTGACCTTACCGGCCGACGCATTATTCTCTCTGTACAAATACAGTGAATACCATATGTATTCCCATTTCTTTTAAATGATACCATTCCCCACCCCCCTACCATATTTTAACCTATCGGATCTATGTAATTTGGCAGATATAGACATTCCAGTCGTACATGGTACATGCACTACAGGCGCGCACACCGACCAAACTGACCAGCGCATTACATATGTTTGTAGAGATGCAGTTAGTGCCATATTATTGCCAGTCCACTAGATTAGACCTTGTACTTCAACAACACTAGGTTATAACCTTTCCGATCCACATTATTTGGGAGATTTGAGAGTTTCAGCCCCGCCTTGTACCTACACACAAGCGTGCATACTGACCTTACCAACCTACGCATAATTCTCTCTGTACAAATACAGTGGAGACCATATGTATTCCCATTTCCATTAAATGATACCATTCCCCACCCCCCTATCATGTTATAACCTATTTGATCAATGTAATTTGGCATATATAGACATTCCAGTCGTACATGGTACCTGCACTACAGGCGCGCATACCGACCAATCTGACCAGCGCATTACGTACGTTTGTAGAGATGCAGTTAGTGTCATATTCTTGCCAGTGCACTAGATTAGGCCTTCTACTTCAACAACACTAGGTTATAACCTTTCCGATCCACATAATTTGGGAGATTTCAGAGTTCCAGTTCCGCCTTGTACCTACACACAAGCGTGCATACTGACCTTACCAGCCGACGCATTATTCTCTCTGTACAAATAAAGTGAATACCATAGGTATTCCCATTTCCTTTAAATTATACAATTCCCCACCCCCCTACCATGTTTTAACCTATCGGATTTATGTAATCTGGCAGATATAGCCATTCCAGTCGTACATGACAACTGCACAACAGGCGCGCATACCGACCAAACTGACCAGCGCATTACGTATGTTTGTAGAGATGCAGTTAGTACCCTTTTCTTGCCAGCCCACTAGATTAGGCCTTCTACTTCAACAACACTAGGTTATAACCTTTCCAATCCACATAATTCGGGAGATT